GGTTAGTACACATATAAATTTAATTTTTCCCAAAATCTTTTTTGTATAAGACTTTTTTGAGCTTTTACATAAACTTTATTTTTTTTTCCTTAATAATACAGCCATTCCTTATATACAATTTGTACGACAAATGAAGGAGATATTCCATGAAACGGATCCACCAATGAAGCGGACAAATTCCAAAGAGCAAAAACGCTTTTTCAGTGTTAAATAATTGGTTTATGTAGTTTTCAATGTGACTCTTTTCAGTTGGTGTTGCTTTACAAAGCGGACACAATTGATAAGATGGTGTTTCAGTGATTTCCGCTAAAAAATTTTCCATCAATGGCTGTTAAATAAAGAGCTTTTGATGTTAAGAACTTTTCCGTTTGGTATCCATATTATGATATTAGAAAGATCATATATTCGTCGTTAAAGAAAAAAATTTTGTTACGGGAATAAGTTTTTTACTTTCTTTGATATACTTTAAGATCATTGGTCTGCAAAATCTTACAGAATTAGGAGTTGGGTTTCCCCAAAACACATCCCAGCCATATGTTTGAAGTCTTAAAGGTACAATTGTAACAGAAAAAAGCGAATCGTCTGATGACCTTTCAAATAACTCATCGAACTTTTGATTGAATTGGGAAGAACTACTGGCTCCATCAAATTCCCAATTTACAACAAAAATCAACTCAATGGAATCCTTTTTCAATTATTAGTAATTTTAGATGTGATTTGCGCCTCTTTTGATTATATTATTCTTTGAACAGTATTAGAAGAATCAGTAACAACACGTTTGCCTCCTCATCATGATGGTACATTTGTCTCCTTGTCAGAGATATGCATATTATTTGGTCAACATTTTTTTTTAAATTCCAGAATATTGCTGTAAAGCGGATAAGTATCTGCACCTTACTTTCGAATCTTATCGTCATGTATTGTTTTTTTTTTTTTTTTTTTTTTTTTTTTTTTTTTTTTTTGTATGTTTTTAGGTGCTCCCAGAAGTCCTTACGGTCTTATCATAGAGCACCGCGGGAGAGCATTTAACAGGAAGTTCACGCCTCCTTTCGTACCAATGTCGCTTGTTGGGCTAGAGCTGGCGTCGAACCCCGGACCTCTGGGTTCTGAGCCAGAACTCTAACCACTGCGCCACGGCTGAGATTTAGTAAAACCATAAATTAATAGAAAAGCAAGTCCCTCTTTAGGAGACATTGAGATTTAGTAAAACCATAATTTAATAGAAAAGCAAGTCATGTATTGAGATTTAGTAAAACCATAGAAAAGCAAGTCCCTCTTCAGGAGACATTTTTTTAATTCTCTTTGTAAATGTTTTTATTGATACCATATGGCAATTGTTGAATTTGTATAATGCACATGACAATTTTTTCTAAGTTCTTATTACCTATTTATTTGGCTGTGTATCTTGCTGTTTCGAGTATATACTTTAAATCATATTTAGCTTTTTCTGACAGATTAGAAGTTGCTATTTTTTTAGTTCCTTTTCCTTTGTCTTTAAAAGGCAATGCATGCCGCCCTTTCTTTAATTCTGGCGTTTCTAATACGTTTGAGAGTTTCCAGATAACTTCTTTAAATTTGAAAGTAAATGTTCTAACCAGGAAATTGATTTTCTATGAAATTTATACTTAGAGTATTGAACATTAGGGTGATTTTAAAAACAACTTTTTTTAAATTTGTCTGCTGCACCCCCTAAATGTGTTCTATGTTATAAATTAACACTGAATTTAAAAAACTTTTGAATAAAAATAAATTTTAGGGGTCCCTCAAGACGTCTTGAGGGACCCCTATTTATTCAATAATTTTTTAAATTTTGTATTTAATTTATCGGTGTTTATTCGCAGTTTTTCACGTGCGAATAGACTATATTTATTTATAGCCTATTCGCACGTTTAATTAAAAAAAGGTAAAGATGATTGAGTTTAAAGGACATTTAAAAAAATTAGATTTATTATTATTGGTTTTTAACTTTAAAATTAAACTAGCACAGTGAAGTAGTGCAGTACTTATGTTAGCTGACTTTTGAAGGATATGCGCACCGTAGTGCATATACCCACCCAGGAAAAAAATTTCTTTAAAATTTCTATAAACTTTTGAAACATATGGCCTATAGAAACTCTATAGAATTTTTACAGAATGTCTATTAATTTCTATAAAAATTGCTATAAAACTTTTTTTCTATAAAAAAAAAGTAGAAAAAAAAATTTCTATAGAAATTTTTATAAAAGTTAACAGGAATTCTATAGAAATTCACTAGAATTCTATAGAATTTCTAGAGGCCAAATGTTTTAAAAGTTAATAGAAAATTCTATAGAACTTTTTTTCCTGAGAACTTTTTTTCCTTTTTTTCATGCTTATCTAGGGATAGGCACAGTGTTGTATAAATACAACGAAGAGGGTTTTGGCTTGCGCCGGCAATTTTTTAATTAAAATGAAAGAAGTATTTCTTCATGTTTATTTTACCTATTGGCACGTTTTTATTTGTTTTTTGAATAAAAATTTAATTACGTCTAAGTAATTTTATTTATTTTGATTATAATTGAATAAAAAAATTAAATTTCTTTCAAAAAATATTTTTAAACGTGCGAATAGAATATAATAAGAAATAGTCAATTCACACGTGCGTGCGAATAGACTCACTCTTAATTTATTACATAAAACACATTTAGGGGGTGGCATCAGACAATTTAAAAAAAAGTTGTTTTTAGAATCACCCTATTGAAGATCCTTCATTTTTTGTTTGTACGTGGTTTGTAATGTTAATAATTTTTTTTTCTAGTTTTTTTTCTTGAGCACCTTCAATTTTTATAACATTCAATTTGATTGAAAGCGACTGTCATGTTTTATGTAAAAAAAAAAAAAAACAATTCAAGTAGAAACATTTTTAAATTGAAAATAGTTGTTCTTGGGTGGGTCTGGGCGGCATCAAAACCAATATTGGATTAAAAGAAGAAGGGTTGAAGTTTATCCATACGTATTCAGATTTTTAGGGACCATCCATAAAGGACGTCATCCAAATGGGGGGGGGGGGGGGAAAGGATTAAAAAGGACAAAAAAAGACAAGGGGAGGGAGGGGGAGGTTGTCAGAAAAGGACGTCGCTATATAAATTTTATATTTTAGTTCAATTAACATGGAAAACTACGTAAACCTGTGTTTTTAAGAAGATAATGTATGAGAATATTTTTAATTTTATTTTTCAAAGGTGTAGCAGCAGATTCAAACATCATTGCGAGATGAAATAAAATTTTTTGGAGTTAAAAATAGGGGAGGGGGGTTCAGGATTTTATGACGTCCTTTTCAAGGGGGTATAGGGAAAAAGGACAACCGGTGACAAAGGAAGGGGGGGGAGAAGGGGGTCAAAAATTGGCTAAAAAATGATGACGTCCTTTATGGATGGCCTCTTACAGCAAAAATTCAGATTTTTACAGAAACGTTTAACAAGTCTTTAATAAAAGTCACATTCAAGCATGCTATTATTTCCTACTCTAAAAAGTTATATTTTTTCTGCATTTTTACGGAATGAAATGTAACTTTATAAAATATTTTACAATGAACTCTGAAAACCTGGTTAATATTCTCCCGATTGATATATAATATATGGAAGTTCACAGATGCGGTTAAAGAAATAAAATAAAAGTTCGAAATTATTGCTTTTTCACTAAATAATTGTTTTTAAAAAAATGGCAACTTTGAGCATATGCAGGGAAGCGCCAAATGGTCTAAAAAGAAAAATTCTTTGAGAACATGAAAAAATGACTAATTTGCTACAATCTTGCATAATCAGAACTTTTTATATCGGATTTTTGATAAATTGGAATTCATACCACTTTTTTGGATAATTTGGAATTAATGCCACTTTTTGATTATTTCTGATGATTTTGATTCTGATGATTTTGATTCTTGATTATTTCTGATGATTATTTTTGATTATTTCTAATGTTGAGTTTATCAATTTACTTATGATTGGCAATAAAACAGAAGTATTTTTTGTTTTCTGTTTATCTATGATTGTCTTTGAATAAAATGCTGCTCAAGAAATTTGCGTTGTGTCTTCCCAATCCGAATTGTTTTTCAAACCTTTAATTCTTTGACCAAAAAAATCACAAAAACGTTTTATTTAAAATAAATATATTGTCATATAATCAAACCTATTTTTTGAACTTCTCTAGGTTACTTAATATATATCCAGTGACTCTTTCTGTTCTTTTTATTTAGAAGAATTACTAATATCGCTATTAATAATATTAATATCGCTATTAATAATATTAATATCGCTTATGATTATAATTAAGCAATTCATTTTTCACCATTACGTCAAATTGCAAGGAGTAAAAGTTTGGTTTAAATCTTAAGCAAATGGGATAAAATCCTTAATGTTGTTAAAAAAATATATAAGTAGAAAACATAAATATTTTTACTCATAATTTATTAACAAAAAAATATTGTGAATAAATGCTTAAAACTTAAAAAACATGCTTAAAACTTAAAAAACATTTTTAATAAAATGTTTTTTAGCAATAATACAAAAAGTATTTTTTTATTAAAAGCAAATAGTATTTTTTAAATTTTTTATGAAAATACGCTTCTTTTGAGACCTAGGTTGAGGTTTATTTGATAATATTTAAGATTTTATTCCAAAAGCTAAAGATATGAACCAAATATCTTTACAACTTGACGTAATGGTGAAAAATTAGTTGCATATTTGATATAAAAATAAGAAACATTTTGCATTGGCACCAGGAAAAAAATTTATTTGTTATTACACAGACCAAAAACAACAAAAAAAAATTTCTGCTGCCGTGCAAACAATGTTTTTAGTACACTTATGTACATAAGTGAGTCAAACTTTCCAAATTCATTGCAATTTTTTTAATTTTTGTTTTGTAAAAAACGGAACAAATCGCATAAAAACTAATCGCATAATACACTAATCGCAGAACAATATTAGCAAAAAATAATTTGTTACTATGTATAATATAGCAAAAAAAGAAAAAAATCTAAATAATAGTAATCCAACTAAAACCAATTTAACTATATAAAATCCAATTTTTTGTTTGAAAAATATAAAAAGGTTATTACAAATAAATAAAAATAATAATTTAATTACTTTTATATGAAAAAAACCATTATAAAAAATTACGTTAAAATAAAACCATCAAGACGGTTAGGTACCACCCGCTTCATTCATAGACATTTTATCAAAAAGATTTTGAAGACAAGCTTTTGATTCTAAAAATTGCGTTTCAGATGACCTGCTTTTTAATGCATGTAGTATTTGATAAACTAAGGTACGGCACCTATCTGTAAGAAAACGTTTAACATACAAACTGCCCTCTAAATTAATTTTATCTTCTTTCGGCAATACAAGTTTTTTATTATCTAACTGCTGTTTAATAAACTCGTTTAAAACAGAGACATGGTCGTTCCAACTCTGTCCGCATTGCACAACAAACGATTTTAGTTCTTCGCAGCAAACTTTATCCACTTCCCTAAGTTCTTCTGCCAGTGCAGCATCAAAATCGTATTTTAAAGATAACCTCAATGCCTCAAAACCCAGTTGCCTTACCATCAAATATGTATTATTGATGGCATTCAAGTTGGCACAGTTTTGATATTCAAGCAGAGCTTTTTTTGGCAAAGATTTTTCTAAACTATCCCTTAAACTTTTAAATAAATTTATTCCTTGATTGTATTGTTTACATTTTAATGAAGTTGCATTACGCATGATTTCTAATTCAGTCTTTGAAGACATAACATGTTGTTTAAGACTAAGAACAATAACCGAATACTGAGTAAACATATCCGATAAATCGCCGTCAATTTTGGCAATATTTTTAATGTCGTTTGTACTTGTCGAGCTTTCTTCCAACTGAATATTATCATAAGTTAAACTATCAACAAGCTCCTGGAAACGAGGTAAATTGTCTTCAATTTTTTTCTCAAAAACTTTAAGCTTGTCTAATATTTTACTAAGACTTGCAAGTTTATCAGAAGAAAAATTGTTTCCTTTTTGTTGGCAATGATACTGCATGACCTAAAAAGTACAAATTGCATCAAAATTAGCAATTTAAAAGTTTAACGTTTCATTTACTTTAAAATTGTTAATCCTATAACAACCTGATAGTTTTCCATATCTTCTTCACATAAAACACATATAACTAAATAAAGACAGACAGGTGGTTCTTTATTCGGACACCCAACAACTCCAATTAATCTAGCAGCTGCACACTGTTGTTCATCATAATACAAAAGCAAATTTGCTTTACAACAATGCCGACAGTATACAAAACCACAAAGTCTAGACAAATATATGTATAGAAGATTAATTAATAGTATGCTTTAATAAATAATAATATAACAAATTAAATTAGACTTAAAAAGAAATCAATTAAACTAAAATTTACAAAAAAAGAAACAATGCCATCTATGATACCTGCAATGATGTTTACTGTTAATGAAAGAAAACTTTGAATAACATTGAGAGCACAATTCTACTTCCGAACTCTCCTTTAAATAAAGATAATATTTAAATGTCACTTCTTTTTTAAAGTTTTAATACATTAAAATTAAAAATCTTTATATAAAACTAATTACCAGCCATTTCGACGATTTCTGCCATTCAGGTACTTTCATAATAGAAAAAGTATCGTTTACTACAGTTTTTATTCTTGAATTAGGATTTACATTAGCTTTAAAACCATGCAAAAGTCTAGTTAACTCTTGTGAAATTATTAAACGTTTTTTACTTCGTGAAAATAAGAAATCGTCAGTCAGTGAACGAATTTCACCAAGGGGTTGACTGCTTGGAAAACCTGCACAACTGAAGCAAACCTTTAAATAAATAATGTACTTCATAAACACTTAAACACATTTTAAAATATAAGAATTAAATTATAAAAAAGTAACTTATCATTTTCACTTAAAAAAAGAAATTTATTTTAACTATTAATACAGTAATACATTGGGTAAAGTACAGTTTTAAAGTAGGTTATCAATCAATTTTAAAAAATAAAAATGCCTTGGGTTTATGAGATTTATAAACAATAAAAAAACTTAATAATAACAATTATAACACTTATATATAATGAGCTTTTGTAACAAAGTTGCGTGAAGTTAGACATTTTTTTCCCATACTATGTCATAACAAATGACATAATATATATACATAATGTCATAACAAATGTTCTTTATACATAATATGTCATAACAAATGTTCTCCATACATAATATAGCTATAATAAAAGTTCTTCATACATAATTTGTCTTAATAACTGTTTTTCATACATAATATCATAAATGCTCTTCATACATTATATGTCATAATATATGTTCTTCATACATAATATGTAATAACAAATGTTCTTCATACACAATATGTCCATAATAAATGCTCTTCATACATAATATGTCATAATACAGGGTGGCCAACTAAAAGTAAATTTAAAATTCCAGGATATTTCCAGAATTTTTCAAGGAAATTTTGGGTTATTCAAGGATATATTGATTTTTTCTTGATAACAAAATGGACGAGTAAATGCAAAATATATTGCCTTAGAACAAAACAACTAAATATTTATATTTGAATACGCATATAAATCATATATACATACATATAATTGTTTGTGTTAAATATTAATCATATATACATACATATATTTATGTAAAGTTTGTACAAATAAAATTGTACAAATTCATACAAACATATACATATATATATATATATATATATATATATATATATATATATATATATATATATATATATATATATATATATATATATATATATATATTAGATCTAGTTGGTTGTTTGATTTACCAACTTCAATCTTTATAAAACTGTATGCAATTGCAGCTTCATTTAAAATGTTTGGTTTGGGAATCATTTTCATCTAACTTCGCAACATGCTTTCTAAACTGTTAGGTAAAAATGCAACCGCAGGTCTGTCTGTTTGAAATAGAACTAAAAATCCTTTCAATTTTTTAGCAAGTTCTTTAAAAAACTGCATTCGCAAAGGTACAAAATTGTGAAGATGATGATCTACCAGAACTTCATAGATCTTATTTTCAGGACGTCTGCTTTTGCATAGTGATTCCCAATATTTTATAATTTTAACCATGTTTGGCCATAAAATAATGCCTCTAGAAGCCACACCTTCATCTTCTACACAGCAAGTTGTGTAGAAACTGTGAAACAATAAAATCCAAAAATTAAAATGCTGAAATGCCCTTAACTTATATATAAATATAAAAGATAAGATAATTTATTATCATTTTTTTTTCTGCTTAAATATGCATACTTATGGCAAAGCAAGCAGATCAGTTTCCCAAACTCTAATATATTCATCTATTTTAGCTGGTGACTCTTTGAAAAGATTATACATTGCACAAAATTTTTTTTTAACTCCCACATTTGGGAATTTATTGCTGTCTGTAGAGCACCATGATCAATGTGCAAACTGCAACTGCCTATATTAACTATACCATAATATCATTTTTCCTGTCTATGTTTATCTAACATTTTTAGAACCTCCCGATTAACATTAGGACCATCCATTGATACTTAAGCTAGTTTTCCAAGATCTTTGTTGCTTCAATGAGTTTGTCAAATAAAATCTGTGAATTAAGGCGTTTGAGGAACTAAGAATCAATATATCTAGCTTTTACAACACCAGAATTTGAACCCCAGTATCTAACTCCACAGTCCATTTGTTCATTTTTAAAGATTACATTCATACTCTCATCATATGACAAAACAAAGATGAGTGATGCTCTGATTGCAGATATAAGTTGCTCTCGAAAGTATGGTGCTAAACCAAAATTTATGAGGTAGCCACATTTTGTTTTGCTTAATGCAAACTTTGATGCTATTGTACTACCAGAGAACATAGATTTAAATATTTCATTTAAATTTAAGCACAATCTTAACGAAAAATGTGACATTACAACATTCAAGTTCCTTATTATTTCAGCCTTAGTAACCAGAGCTGGAGATTGAAGATCCTCTATAGTAGGTTGTGCCAGTTTGTCATTTAAAACATTTTTTGAATTAGGAAAATGTTCTTGTAAGTTAACAAAAGCAGTTATTGCCAGATATTTCTGTAGTAAAATCTAGGAACGAAATGCGTAAAAAAAAATTAATATCCGGTAAAGTGCACAGCTAATCAATTTGCTCCAAGCATTCCAAAATTCAAAAACATTTTCAAAAAAAAAAGTAAAAAATCAAATCAAATAACTAAAAAACTACCAGTAAAGAACATATCAGCTGCATTATGTGTTCTTGCATGCTCTTTATGCTTTTTACCAACGAGAATTTAATGCGGATACTCCTATGTTAGAAATATTAATATTTTTTGACACCAATTACATCTTGCTATCTTTGAAAAACATAATTTTACCCAAGAAGAATACTTTTTATTGTAAAGCCATTCTGTTTGGAAACGACAGTTCTTTGACTTGGGCGTTATGTTAGTTATATTATATATTAATTGTTATATATATTATTTGTATATTCTATTTTCTAAATTTTTAGTAGAATTAATAATACAGATAGTAAAATTAATAAAAATATTTTCATCATACCAGAAAATACATAATTAAACGAAAAGTTTTGTAAAAGATGAAAACAAGAAAACAGAATATTGAACTCTATAAAAAAAAGTTCCAGGATTTCCAGGATTTTTTGTAAAAAGGGTGTTTTTCCAGGACTTTTCCAGGATTTATAAAATTCCAGGATTTTTCCAGGATTTCAAGGATTTCAAGGACCGCTGGCCACCCTGTAATAAATGTTCTTCATACATATTGTGTCATAATAAATGTTCTTCATACATAGATGTAACTTGATATTATGCTTGTACAAATGTCAAAAGCAAATCATATGCAAAATAATTATGATAGTTAAAGACCGGAACATAAATACACCTAATGACCTATACACATAAATGACCCATTTCACAGTTATAAAGAATACAATTTAAATAACATTAAAACAAAAGGCTATTAACAAACTATTTGATGAAAAAAAAAGGGCTTGTAAAGGCTAAATTGGATAGGCTCTTTCACAGAATTATCCACAGATACACTAGATCTGTATGATGTATCGATGCCAAACAATCCAGTAACATGAAGAAATGTATATGGATCAGCAAAGATCAGTTTGACAAAATCAAATCACCCACTGCCCCCAGCAACAATACCAGTCCAAAATCACACCAAACTCATCAAGTATGGCTCAAGACTAAACCTTACCTTACTCGCTTCAACACACCTGAATCCTTTGCCACCACCAACTAAGACAATCGCAAACAAATCAACTTTATGAAAATTAATCCTTGCTCACAGAATGGTTCCAAATGAGATATCTGATGACGAGAATAGATACAGAAGAACCAGCAGACAAACCGGACATAAACTTCTTTTCAAAAACTTGGTGTAAAAAAATGAACAACCTGAGCTACCCAAAGTCATCACTGACACATCAGACATTTGACCGCCAGGCTACCATTTACAATAAAAAAACAGAGGAGGTAGAGGAGGCAGTGTAGAGGTGTGAGGTAGAAGTGTGGCAATATATTATAAACAATATACCAGTAGCTGAAACAGTCTTAAAGCAATTGAACTCATAAACATAGAGCAAGTATAATGAGTTATAAAGTTAGGCAAAGTGTTAATTCTTCTGGGTTGCATTTATTGTCCGCATGACAACAAAGAAGTTCTTAAATAGGTAAATAAGACAATCGATCAAAACGAAGCATCTTAAAACTGAAAATTTATTGTTACTTTATTGCTATGTTAATCTACAATGACTTCAACTTTAGCCACACAACATACAAAGAGCTTGACTTGAATGGTGCATTAGCAACAGTTGCCCATGTGCAAAAAGTGCATAAACTTCCTTTCACAAATGGTAACTTTTCATACTTACCAAAAAAATAGACAAGAGGGGCCATCAAGCACACTCAACTTAATTATCATGGAATGAACCAGACATTAATTAATAATTGACTTTTATGTAGATCAATCATTGATCTAGATATTGGGAAATCACTAAGCAGCACACCAGCAGGTGAAGCACATTGCTTCATAATTGGTTCATTTGTAACAAACAATGCATAACCACAGACAACAATGAGTTCATATGGACTAGAACAAACTATGATGTCATCTCAGCCCTCAGGACAAGTATCTTTGATTTCTTCTCAGCTAACAATAACTATAAACTACTAGCAAAATCCTCCTGGGAGAAATTTACCGTGGAATGCAAATACTTAGCAGCCAGAAGATGAACAAGAAGTGATTTGTAACAAACACAAAACAACATGCAAAAGAGTCAGTAAGGTGTGAGAGAAGCAACCATCAGCTACAAGAGTAAGGCTGTAGCATGCTTTAACTACAACCCAAAACAGCTTTTTATTAAGTTAAGTATAAGCAAAAGGAAAATGAAACTGTGAACTCATTCAACAAAAATGACACTGGAAAAATTACTACAAATAGATTAATAAACTACTTAATATTCCTTTGCAACTGCACTGCTGTGTTTGCTGTACCATTAACAATGAGCTACTACCAAAGTCTCAATGGTAGAAGGTTTCAATCTATTTCTCTCCAAAGGCAAAATACCTATGGTAGTATATATATATATATATATATATATATATATATATATATATATATATATATATATATATATATGTATATATATATATATATATATATATATATATATATGTATATATATATATATATATATGTATATATATATATATATATATATATATATATATATATATATATATATATATATATATATATATATATATATATATATATATATATACATATATATAACATCAATCTTCAAGACCAGTAGCAGAAAAAAGTGTTCAAACTGCAGACCAAACTATGTGTCACTAACATTAATATTGTGCAAAATAATGGAAAGCTTATATCACAACCGAATTATGAAACACTACAATGACAATGGCCTATTCTCAAAAGCTTAGCACAGCTTCCTCCTTTACCGGGGTAGTATGTCTAATCTACTAGAAGCACATGATAAACTTAATTAAAACTGACTTAGTAAAAGCCTTCGACAAAGTGCCGTACAAAAGACTTCTGCACAAATTAAAAACTTACAGCATATTTTCTGTTAGCTTACAACACCGCATAAGTCATTCGTACCAACTTTACAGCAGACGAAAAAAAAAACTAATGACTTGTGCGTAATTGCGAAGCCAACCGACTTGCGCGCTATTACTATGATTTGCTGAAATCTATATCATGTGACCAGTGGTTAGATGTGCAATGAGCAGCTCCATCGATAGGCATTAATATGTAAAAACCACCAATTTTTGACTTGTAAGCGGTATTGTAAGCTAGGAGACGATATGTGGGTGAGGTAGATAGCAAACTGGCTAACCAAAATCAAAGAGTGTTTGTTGGTAAAGCTGAATGAGTGGAAAGAGGTGACAAGTGGATGGCCCAGAACTGATCCACAGAGATCAGTTCTAGGACCGCTGCTTTTTATTATTTACATAAATGACCTACCAGACAACATAGCTCACTACATCAAGATATATGCTAATAACTCTAAAAAACTGGGTATCATCAAAATAGAGGAGGACAAAGCACATCTTCAGTTAGACATCAACAAAGCAGTAGAATGGTTCAAAAAGTGTATAATGCTATTTAACTTGGACAAAGGTAAATGCATGCCCAAAGACTACTCCAACAAATCAGTGCACGTCAACGCAATGACTGATCAGATAGAAATAAGATAAGAACTGGGTAAAAATTCAATCAAAAGTGATCTAGGTGTCCAGATTTCAAAAGACTTGAAAGTTAAGCATCATGATAAAGCACCAACTATTAGAGCAAACCAGGCACTTGGTCAACTAAAGAAATCTTTTTTAGGCAAATGTCTTGCACTTTGAAAAGTATTTTATAAAATATACGTTAGAATACACCTCAAATTCTCCATCCAAACATGGTCTTATCTAAAGGACAACATCAAAGCACTTAAAAGTATTCAGTGACGCCTGACAAAGGTAGTCATATAAATCAAGCATAAATCATACAAAAAAAGGCTTTCAATTCTATAATCTTTATCAACAACTTATGACTAACTAAGCTTTTAGTAAAGAACTGTGAGGAAACAGATAAGTTCTTCACAAACTGAATAGTGGAATCATGGAATGTTCTGTAAAGGGGATTGAAAAAAACAAGTTTTTTACAATGCTTTTGGGGTAGAGCGGAAAAGTTACCTCTGCACATAAGCAACTTCTGTTCAAAATTTTTTCACCACAGGATAATAGTGAACAAATTTTGTTCTGTCAAAAGATGTGAAATTTCAAAAATTCTGTAAAACATTTAATTTTTTTTTTTTGTTCAAAATTTTTTTAAAAGGTTACAGCACTTTGCGGTAATGTGCTAAAGTTGCACCTATGTATGGTTAATTACAATCCAACATTTAAAACCCCACCAACAATATGTTCTCTTCTGGCAAGGAGTATGAAACTTCCTAAAAGTCAACAAAAACACTGCTTTTTCATTATTTAACTATCATTTATAAAACATAAACTATAAGTGTCATACACTTGAACACTATAATATATAAGAATTAAGAAATAAGTTTTAGGTCTTTAGGTTTTGTACTGTTTTGCACCTAAATTTAGGTGTTGAGCCAATAAATCTGTAATGTTTATTTTGACCACATACTTTCCTTGAGGCTTCCATAACCAATTTTAATGTTCATTCTGCAGCTTGTGGGTGAAATGGGAACTTTTGTAAATGTCTAATAAATTAGTATTGGTTTTTCCAGCATACTTTTCAAATCTTCACATCATTTAGTATTGGTGGTGTAGTTATTTTAATGGACGACTAGTCAATTCGTTCAATGCAGCCGTTTGCCTGAAAGTTTAATTTTGGAATATTATACTTTCTAATCCCAACGTGTCCAACCATCTCACCTAATTCTCCTGGTTTTTTGACTCTTTAAATGGTAAGAGCTCTGATTTGTGCAAAGTAAGCATTCCAAGTAAGCATTCCAAATCACTGGGTCAATGGTGTTTTTGTGAACTTGATCCAAGCATCTGGATGACTGAATGAAATGGTAAAGATGCTGAGCTATATCCTTAATTCAATGATGGATTTTGATGCGGAACCAAAATAGCACATACACCCTGATAACAAACTTTATTATGGTACGCCAGTTTGATGATTCTGTTGTGGAAACATACAGTCTTAATACCCTGTGGGCTGTTGTCAACCAGCAGGATATGTTTAGGGGACCTGGATTATGCTTAGCAAGACTTGGTGAACACATGCCTGAGCTAACATAACCAACATAGCTAGATACTGGTTTGTTCACCAAGGAAAAGTGTTCCTCTACAACTGTTCTTTGGTATTAATTAGCATCTAGCATTTCTATTGACAATGCTTTATGAAATCAGCCGTCGAAGTAAAGATATTAAATTAATCTTTTTAATGTCCAAGCTCTGACCTTTAAGCTCTAGCAT